TGTCGTTCCACATAGCCCCCTCTCAGACCTTTTATCCGTTGCTGGATACGGAATATTTTGGCGGTACAATTATTCTTAGAGTGTCATGATATCAGCTCTTTGTTTTTACTACATTTCAACCAGCAGGAAAGATGAGAGCTGGCCAGAGCACATGACTTTAGTTTGAAGTTGGGTTTTTTTGAAGTTTCAAAGGAAGGCCAGGTCTTTGTGATCTGTTTGATGGCAGGCCATGCCTTTGTTCTATTAAGTGAGCTTTTAAAGAAACCTTGAAATCTGCAGAAGGCAACAGAGCTGTCCTCGCTGCTAGAGGGGACCCAGAATTTCATGGGAAAATGGCTGACATAAGATGTACTCACGCAGGTTGTCAGGAACCTGCATGCGATGCCCACGTTCTCTGGCCTGAGCTGCCAGGATGAAACTGCAAGGCACAGGAAGGCCAGTTGTTAGATCGGCTGGACTTCAGAAAGGACACAAAAGATGGACTTGGCCCTGGTTCTCTATGTAGAGTTTTCCTAGCCAGGTTTGTGAGTGTGCATGTAAGTTAGTGTCTGACTGGGCAACACACGGTATGATAAATAGGCTCAAGATGACGGCAGTTGTGTTAGCACCCTGCTTGCTGTTCAATTTGTTACCTGCTTGAGAGCATTCAGCTTCATGGGGAGACTACGTCGGTAAGAGTTTATGTGTAGGCATTTGCTAACTTGTGCAAGTGGATTATTCCACTGGAGGCACTCAGGTGTGTTTTGGGAAATTTTGCTGAGTTTGGGCCGTCTTGGCTAACTGGTTATGCCAGTGAATAAAGGTTGCATCTTCACATGTGCTTGGAATACTTTCTGCATGCCTAAATGGGCTAGTCTGAGAGGGGTTTGCCCCCCCCCTTCCTGTATGATCTCTAATTTAGTTAATTATTGCTCTGCCACCTTTAAAGATTGCAGTTGCCAGGAAGCAGAACATTAAATGAATGTTTGCCATTAATACAAATTATTGTGTTTTGACAGTTTGCTAATCAGCTAAGAGAAAATTATGCTGTAAAAATATGTATGATTGCCATTTAACCAACCCTCAGGTTTTTACATGAATGGAGTTTCTCTTTACTAAAGGCTGTGCATTTTAAAAATGATTTGGGGGTTAAATGAGCCACCTAAAATGCCTTGAGGAAGCGGCCATGGCTCAGTGGTAGAGCACCTGCATGTAGAATTTCCCGGGTTCAAACCCTGGCATCTCCATGTAGGGCAGGGAAGACTCTTGCCATGATGTCCTTGGGGGGCACTGCTGCCAGTCAGGGACTGCAACACTGGCTAGGTGGACTCTGGACGAGGCAGCTTTCTTGTTCTGCAGTCCTAAGAGTCAGGCTGGATCAGAGCAAGGGTCCATCTAGGTCAGCATTTCGTTCCCACAGACACCCCGACTGCAATGGTACTCTTCTTCCTGTGTTCTTCGGCTACTAGTGCAGAGAGACATACAGCCCGAAGCCATCCTCTAGCAGCCCTTGCCAACTTTGGTCCTTCATGAATATACCCCCTTTAATGCCATCCAGACTGGTGGCCATCCAGATTGGTGGCCTTCACAGCATCTTGTGGGTGTGAACTTCACGGTTAGCTAAGCATTATCCGAGGAGGAACTTCCGCTTGCCTGTGCTGAATCCCACTCAACAGATGACCCCAGCCTCTAGAATTGTGAGAAAGGGAGAAAAATGCAACCTACCCCTTTTTCCGTGCCATTCAGAATTTGGTACCCTGCCATCACGTCTGCCCTTTGTTGTTGTTATGTGCTATGAAGACATCTCACACTTTTGCTGGCCTTATGCACGAGCGCCCTCCGCAATGTCCTGCGCTTCTCAGCCATGCTCCGCAGTCGTCAGCCAAGGCCGCAGCTTCCTTCATGGAGTCGATCCATCTCACATTCGGTCTTGCGCTGCATCTGCCTTCACTCTCTGTAGCATCATTGCCTTCTCATGCTGACTGCCGTTCTGTCAGTCCAAAGTATTCGTCAAGCTTTCCTCCAGCACCATGTTCTGAACACCTCAGTATTCTTCCTATCAGCTGTATTTACTCTTCAGCTTTCTCACCCATATTAGTGACTGGAATGCAAGAACGTGGATGATCTTGGTCTTGGCCTTCAGTGAAATATCCTTATTCGTGACCATCCTTTCTAGTTCCTTCGTCATGGCCTTTCCAAATCTCTGTCTTCTTCAGATTTCTTGGCTGCAGTCTCTGTATGCTCGTTTAGTTTTAAGTGCTACCAGTGAGAAGGAAGGACTCCCTGGAGAAGAGCCTGATGCTGGGAACAATAGATGGCAAAAGAAGGAGGGGACGGCAGAGGATGAGGTGGCTGGATGGAGTCACGGAAGCAGTCGGTGTGAGCTTAGGTGGACTCTGGGGAATGGTGGAGGACAGGAAGGCCTGGAGGAGTGTTGTCCGTGGGGTCACAATGGGTCGGACACGACTTCGTGACTAGCATAGCATAGCATAGCATAGTAAATATTAGATTTTTAACGAATGGGTTCCCATAGTGGGTTCTATCCAGACTGTGAGTGGTGGAATATGGCAAGTCTTGGAAATCGTGCCCTTCAGTAAATGGCTGGAAGAGGTGTTTCCAGCCTGAAGTCAGCAACAGTCATGCCAGCAGTTGCTGCGTCATGTGTGGCAGCAGCTTGAAACAGCAGTGGTGGCATCCTGTGGAAGAACACGCAGGCTTTGGGCAGCCCGCCCGGGATGACCACACCATCGGCCAATGACGGGTTTGGGGGTGAGCGTTTAAACCTGAGCGGGTTAATACAGGGGCGGTGAACGAATCAGTATCAAACGGGGCTGGCTTGGTCCCAGCTGGAAATCCTAGTGCATCAGGTTGGTGCATGCTTGGAGACACTATTGCCTTCGGAGCAAGGGCTTCCTACAGGGTTGATCTTCCGCTGTAGTAAGTAGTGGGTAGAGTCTAAAGTCCATTTTTTTTTGGTATCATAGAATCATAGAAGAGTTGGAAGGGGCCACAAAGGCCATTGGGTCCAGCCCCCTGATGCTGCAGGACACCAAGTCACAGCATACCACTCAGGTGGCTCCCCAGTTTCACCTTGACTGTTATGAGCGGAGCTGGCTAGAGCTGGGGGTCAGACTAGATGGCCCGGGAGACCCCTTCTGACTCATTTTGTTTCTATGTTTCTATGAATGCCTCTAGTGTGGGAGAGCCCACCTCTCTCCAGGCAGCTGGTTCCACTGTCATATTGCTCTGACTGTGAGGAAGCTTTTCCTGATGTCCAGCCTGAATCTGGGTTGTCGCAGCTTGACTTGATTCTTCCGTGTCCTGCATTCCGGCATCAGCAAGAAGAGATATTGGCCTTCCTCTTTGTGGCAGCCTTTGAGGTCCTTATAGAGGGATACCATGTCCCCCCTCGGCCTCCTCTTCCCAAGGCTGAACAAGCCCAGTTTCTCCTCATAGGGCAGAGTTTCCAACCCCTGGATCACTTTTGTCACCCTCCTCTGGGCCCTCTCTAATTTACCTGCATCTTTCTTAAATCTTGGTGCCCAGAACTGGACACAGTATTCCAGGTGAGGCCTGACTAGCGTCGAGTATAGAGGAGCTACTACTTCTCTTGATTTGGAAGTAATACTTCTGTGAATGCATCCCAAAACAGCATTTGCCCTTGTGGCGGCTGCATTGCATTGTTGGCTCATGTTTAGCGTGTTCTCCACATTTGCTCTGAGCTCTTTCTTTTTCATTGCTGTTGAGCCACGTATTCCCCATCTTGTATTGATGCCTTTGGTTTCTCTTTCCTAGGTGGAGGACTTGGCACTTGTCTTTACTGAATCTCATTCTGTTGCTTTTAGTGCAGTGTCCAAGTTTATCAAGATCGCCCTGGATCTCCATTTTGTCTTCTAGGGTGTTTGCTACTCCACCCAGTTTTGTATCATCTGCAGATCTGATTATCTTTCCTTGTACGTCCTCATCTAAATCATTAAGAAAGATATTGAAGAGCACTGGGCCCAGGACTGAACTCTGCAGCACCTGCTAGTTACCTTCCTCCAGTTTGAGAAGGTGCCATTGATGAGCACTCTTTGTGTCCGATTTAGCAGCCAAATTTGGACCCATCTAATAGTTTTTCTATTTAGCCCAGGTTTTGCTAATTTTCTTATCACAAAGTCATGGGGCACTATGTCAAAAGCTTTGCTAAAGTCCGTGATTTGAAATGCAGATCCTCTCTTGGTATGGCTGAAGAGCTCTTGCGTGCATCCACATTGTACCCTCTCTATCTGCAGGGCAGGTCTGGCTGGGAACACTCATTCCGCATCAGAGAGAATTTGGTGGTAATGGATCCTTGCAGTCTTGCCCAGCCCAGAAGCCTGTGATGGGACTGCCAACCACGGGAAACCACTTTTCTTTCCCAAAACATTTGCAAGTGTAGTCTAACGATCCCCGGGCTACCATTGTGGTGTTGGCTGCTGCCACACCAGGTTGTCTTCCTTTGTCGCTGTATTTTTTTAAAAGACGGTTTATGCATTTATGTTGACCTCGGTGTAGAATCTGGCCTTGAACACTCCATGGCTTGGATGGGAAGCTGACTTGTATATATGCCCTCCCGCCCCTTGAGATCAGCAACAGATGCCCTTCTCCGGTAACCCTCCGTGAAAGAAATTAGGAGGGTGGGTACTCGGAGGAGGGCCTTCTCTGCGGTGGCACCCCAACTATGGAATGTGCTCCCCAGAGGGGTCTGCCTGGCACTGTCGTCATTTGTTTTTCGGCGCCAGGCTAAGACCTTTTTATTTAAAACTCATTTTAATTGTTAAATTATTTGAATTAATAGGATTTTAAATTTTTAGCTGAGAATGCACCAGGGGTTTTTAAACACTTTTTTAAATTGTTATATTGTTATTATTTATGTATTTATGTATCCTTTGTGAGCCGCCTCGAGGCTTTGTTGCGATGGGGGCGGCATAGAAATGTTTTAAATAAATAAATAAAATAAATAAATGTCTTCATTATGCATTGTGTCTTGTCTCATGCAGGGATGGGCTGCTTTTGGGGAGCTGAGAGGAAATTCTGGAGGCAGAAAGGAGTCTACTCAACTCACGTGGGTTATGCCGGAGGACAGACCCCGAATCCCATTTACGAAGAGGTTTGCTCAGGTAGGGCTGATCTTTTCATGGACTGTAAGCCTCTTACTGAAGCACTGTGATATAATCAAGCACACAGAAGAGGTGATGGATAATCTGCACAGGTGAGATTTCGGAGTGACCTTATAGTGAACCTGGGCATTGAACTGTCTGCTCAGGCACTCCAAGGCTCTTGGCAGCCTGTTACCAGAAAGTCATTTAGCTGCAGCCTGGAGGTTGTGATGTGATTTGTGTCTTCTGCTTGGAGCGCGTGAAGCTCTGCCTGAAGCAAAACAAAAGATCGAAAAGCTCCATCAAGGATAACCCAAATTCTGTGCCAAGCCTCTTGGCATCCCACAACTTGTATTCATTTTGACAGTGAAGCAAATTGGCAATGATTTCCTCATTTTGTCCATTATTATTATTATTATTATTATTATTATTATTATTATTATTATTATTATTGCTTCTGCAAGGATAAAGGTTTGTGTGAGGAATCAAACATGGTGTTGAACTTGTGTCACCAGGCCACTGAAGATCTGCTTAGCACCCACCCACCAAGGTGGTCTTTTAAGGCTTATTTTGCAAGAAATGGCTACCAGCTAAACCAAAACCAAACCGTGGGAAAAGATAGTGGTGCCATTTCTTCAAAGCATCTCTGTCTGTCTGTCTGTCTGTCTGTCTAGCATCCATCCATCCATCATCTCTCTGTCTGTCTGTCTGTCTGTCTGTCTAACGTCCATTCATCCATCCATCATCTGTCTGTCTGTCTGTCTATCTATCTATCAATCATTTTTCTGTGCTGTCCAATACTCAAGACTCTGAAGTATTAGCATCTGAAGTTCTCCTATATTATCCTCCTGTATTAGTAGGACCTGCTAGAAGAACACCAGTGTTGTAAGTTTACCCCAACCACTGATTCTTGGTGATGCCAGAGTGTCCCCTGAACTTGCCCGTCTGCCCCTTTGAAGCCCAGGCCACTGTGCTGGACGGCAATGTTGTAGGGCTGTCCGTGAAGCAGGATGCCCTCTTAGGAGCCTTGAAAGCTTTGCGGAGCAGGCTGGGCGCCTCACTGGATCCACGTGTGGCAACATCCACTCAGACACCAGCGCCGCTGTATGTGACTTCACAACAGCAGGAGGGACCTCTGGCGTGATGCCAGTAGCACTCGCCGGCACAATGGGAAATCTTGCTGTTCCAGCGAATGCCACCGGCAGTCTGAGAGCACCGTTTCTCCGGCCTGGTACCCTTCTTACGAATTGGCCTTCAGTCCGCAGCATCGTGGCCAGGGATCAGAAATGCCGGGCATTGTAGTCCGGGACCTCTGAAGGACGACGGGTTGGGGAAGGATGTACTAGGCTCTAGGAACGAGAGGTCCTTACGCCAGCATCGCATGGTGCGCATCAACGCTGGTGCACTGCAGGATCCGGCCCATTGCGTCCTCTCTCGGAATGTGCAACGCGGCAGCCATTTGGCGCAACAGAGGGCCGAGATGGCCCTTGCTGAAGATCAGGGTGTTTTGTTTATTTATATATTTATTTGGAATGTTTGTATGCCGTCCCATTCGCATAAGCCTCGGGACGGCTTTCCAGCATCTTTTGTTATCAGATGCAGGAAAAGCACCTCAGCTAGTGCAGACGCCGCCCGAAAATAGGATCCTTCATGCATTCAATCATGTTGTCGGTGCACTCAAACCATTCTGCAGGTTAGCTGACCTCATTTTGATTGTGCTTGGTTACTAACAGAAGCTAGGAGCAAACCGAGATATTTTAGTATATATTCCAGTCTTAAAAATGCCCGCTCACATCACTGTTTCTGTTGTCAAGATTCATACTGTCTTTTATGAACTGAAAGACTAAACGGACCGCTCCGATTTCTGAAGCCGATAAATACCCTGATAGGGAATTATTTTTACATCAGAGTAAATTGTTGTACAGATGCAAATGTGAAAAGACATTTGCAATTGATAAGTGTGTGGGGCTATTTCCAGTGCATTTGACTCAATGCACAAATATAAATTTTTTGGCAGGCATTATGCGCCACTCATGATGTTCATTCACTATGAAATAACTCTTCATAGTTTGCTTACAGATGTTCAGAACAATTCTTTGTTTATCAATGTATTCATAAGCGATTTAAAATTTGTGCATCTCAAGGGGAACTGAAATCTGGCAGGGGGAAAATCTGCTAGGCAGTTCCTTCACTGTTTCCCTTCTCACATTCATACACACCACACCACACCACACCGAGTTCTCCTGAAATCAGGTTTCTTACATTATATTTATAATTCAGACTTGAGTCTGTAGAGCAGCTTTTAAAAAGTAATTACACGGGGCAACATCCACTTGAAACATTATTTTTCACCCGGTTATGTTACCCCAAAAGTTATTTGGTTGGTCTTTGTTTAATCGAGTCACCCTCTGATGCTTTTCCTCAACAGCTGTCAGTTTATCTTTTAATATGCGTGAGTGATCTTTGAAAATTAATAGCAATTTAAATGTACGCAGCCTGAATTTAGCTTTGTTGCTGTGATACCTACAGGGCTATTTGAGAAATGCTGCTGCCCACAATTGCCTTTTTTGTGGGATGACCCCAATTCTAGAATTTTGTGGCGAATGGCAATGATTCCTGTCCCATTGATTATGTGGCATTTAAAAAATGTTTTGTCCATTTATTAAGAACATTTGTATCCTACCTCCCCCTTTTTGTTTAAATTGAAGCTTGTAACAATCAGAAACAAAAGCAGGAAGGCTGGGGAAAATAAAATAAAAACAAACATTGAGTAAATACAGTAAAAATAAGCATTGATCAGCTTTAAGACCTTTGCACAAGTCATTCTGGTAGCCTGCAAAGCTACTAAACCCAGAAACCCTCCTATGCTTGCCTTGATGAGAATATTTCACATAATTGTCTAAAAGGTGGTAGAAAATCATTCCTGCCCCTTTTATTTATTTATTTATAATTTTATTTATTTATTACAAGCTTTTGTATGCCGTCCTTTATATAAATATCTCAGGATGGCTTATAGCAATGTAAAACAATTTAAAACATCTAGTAACATTATCATTAAACATTAACTGTTTTAACAATAGATTAAAATAGTGATACTGTATGAAACAATAAATAAACATCAAATTAAATCAAATAGACAAAGCAAAAGTGATTGGAATCATTTAAACTATTCACTTTAAAATGCCGTTTAAATAAAAAGGTTTTGACCTGGCGCCGAAAAGAGTATAAGCTCGGCGCCAGGCGTGCCTCTCTGGGAAGCGCATTCCAGAGTCTGGGCGCCACCACAGAGAAGGCCCTGCTCCGAGTTGATGACCTTTTTACCTCTCTTAGAGAGGGTTCCCAGAGCAGGCTTCTCTCGCAGATCTTTAGAGGCGCGAGGGCGTATAAGGAAGGAGGTCCCAAGCCGTTTAGGGCTGTATAGATCAAGACCAGCACCTTGAATTGGGCCTGGACTTCAACTGGAAGCCAGTGGAGCTGATAGAGGAAGCCAGTGTGCTGCTCTGATAGCGGAAACACACGGCCTCCAGCTTCCTTTTGTCTGAATGTGTGCATTTAGTGGGAAGCAACGGCGGCTGGCAATAACGGAGTTAGTGCGGTCAAGGGCATTCATTTATGGCAAGCACTATTCCTCACCAAATTTCGCAGGGTCCTCTGCCAAGAGAGTGATGTTCATCAACGGCACGGATGTTTTGCCTTCATCTAACGCTCTTGCACTGCTCCTTGGTGTTGCGGTGAGAGGAAGTATGCTGAGCCCAGCAGCCTTGGCCGAGCGAAAGTGCTCGGGGTGATTTCCGCAGCTGGGGTGTCGACCAGGGGAAACAACATGCCTGTTGGTCCACGGAGAGCGCAACCCCATCCAGAACAAGCTGCACCCAGTTCCTCGAACCCCCTTTCTTATGGGCAGCAGCACCTCTGCCTTGTCTTGCAGATTTCAGTCTGGTTGCCGCCATCCAGTCATCCAGTCCGTGGTTGAAATGCAGAGTGGGTTTCATGTGACCAGGGGTTGCTTCGCAGTCAGGCAGGATCCGCAGAGCTTGGTTCCTGCTGGCCCACGACTCCTGCCTCGTGTAGGTGGAAGTCGAGGGAGAGAATTGCTCCCCTGCCTTATGGACGTAACTGACATTGCAGCTGAAGATATACAATGGGCTTCAAGTCCTTGGAGTATGTAGAAAGCGAGTTTTGTGCGACCTGAGCACTTTTTTATGGCCACAGATGTGAGTGCGGGGATGGGGAGATCAGCAAAGCAGAAGCTGCTGGGGGTATTCTGAGTGCTTCCTGAGTGCTCTGTTTGTTTGTTTGTTTGTTTGTTTGTTTTGATGCAAAGGTAGCTGGGTGTAGATCCAAAAGCTTACAGCCTCTTCCCATTAATTAAACTGTGTTTGCATGCACTTTTTATGTAAGGTTATTTGCTAATGCATGCATTTTTGAATACCTACCGCCCGTTGTAGGCTTGGAAATGTGTGATCGTTGATTGTGCCACAGATTGTGCCATCATTCTAGTCTGGAAGGTGCAGATGGATAAATTCAGCTCCTGCATGAACTGAAATTACTTCCTCATTCGTCCCCACATGGGTGGCACAATACTGAGTATCATGACACCCTTTTATCTTAATGGAGGTGCATTGCATTTCCCATGTTAATTACCTCTTTCAAGGTAGAAAGAAGCAAATCAGTCCTGCGAGGACTTTTCTCACCCTCTTAGTTTCACCCATCATCTACACAACACCCCCCCCACCCCCCACTTTTAGGGACATTCACTATCATGCAGAGATATAACTTGGAGTAAAACCCCCAAACATAACTATCCCGTTAATATAACTGAGATGCTATTACACCTTGCCAGATGTGTCTAGCTTTCCACGATGCTTTAGTTGCATAATTAAACTACAAACATTATCCTCCCTTTCGGTAACTTCTTAGGATACCTGAAGGGTTTTGAGAACAGACTCTGAAGGAGATCACAAGATTAAAGTCTTCAGACAGTAATGAGAATGGTTCAGAACATTTCCTTTTATTGTTCA